CGCGTCACAATCAGCCATCACCCTGCAGATAACTCAGCAGCAAACACACTTTAAACAGGCAATCCGATTAGGAGACGGCAGCAGACGCGCCACTGATGTCGGTTGCGAGCCATGTCCTGTAAAGTCTCGAGCCAAGCGCAAGGCGAGTCACGTGGACTCCAGCCCGGAAGGCGAGACGGACCAACGGTACCCAGTTTGGTCGTCAGTGTCTTCATTTCCCGTTGCCAAGTCAACTTCTGTCCACCGCGAGCCTTGCGCCACCCTACACCTGGTAGACTAAACAAGGCCCTCCTAGGTAAGCGGTGACCAGGCATACGTAGTACGTGCCCAAGCCAACGCAACTTATTCAGTGCTATCTGTTGCTCTAGGGCGCTAGCATGATTATAATTACCTAGTACTCGCCTACGCACATCAGCGTTGCGGACACGCTGGTGCCATCCGACTCCAGCAATGCTTCGCAGACAATGATGATCAAAGACTTGAAGGCGCCTCAGCTCTTCAGACGGAAGGGGTCAAGTCTCACTACCATACAGCAGAATGGCCCTCATTGTGGCCTTGTATACCCGGCCTTTCAGACGGAGGGAAACTCCCTTCTGTCGCCAAAGATGCCGCAGGTTCAAGAAGGCAGCTCTGGCCTTTGCAATGCGTGAGCTGAAGTCAGTTTCTATGCGCCCATCGTTGCTGATGCAGCTGCCAAGATAAGTGAAATGATCAACCACCTCGAGTTCCTCGTTAGCAAGCGTCAAGGGGTCATCGAGTGGCTGGTGGTCCTGCAACAACACTGCACTTCGAAGGTGCGAAGTGCATACCAAACAATTGGACCACTGCACAGGCTATTCAGGGTTGATTGGGCCACCACAACATCGTCGAAAAGCAAGACGATATCGTCCGCATAATCTAGATCAACTAACTTTTCACCAGGCAGCATTTCAACGCCTACATCGTGAGATTCCGCAAGGGGACACTGCATGATAGAATCCACGACGAAATTGAACAAAAATGGGGAAATCGGACAACCCTGACGAACGCCACTTGTGGTCGGAAAGCTAGCCGACAGGACACCGTAAACCCTGACGCGGCCTGTAGTGTTCGAGTATAGAGCACGAAGGATGTTCACATATTTCGTGGGAACACCTTTCCGCGCAAGTATTTCGAACAGAATCGATCGATCGACTGTATCGAACGCACTCTTGAAATCGAGTAACACAGCTATTGTCGGTCCACGGTATGCGTGGCGCTGCTCTAGCACCTGCCGCAAAGTAAATATATGGTCTATACAGCCACGTCCTGGGCCGAAACCAGCCTGCTCTTCCCTAATCCCAGATTCCCGTTTTGCAGTGAGGTGACGAACGATAATCGAGGCCAATAATTTTGTTACAATTGACGTTAGACTAATACCCCTGTGGTTCGCACAGTCTGTGCGATTTTCCTTGTTGTATACTGCTACTATAATTGATTCGCTCCAATTAGCCGGGACGCTCTCTTCTTTCCAGGCACATTGGAATAAGGTCAGTGCTTTGCAGAGGACCTCACTTCCATCCTCAAATAGTCCCGATGGGAGGGAATCCGGGCCAGCGGCACGAAAACGATTGAGGGCTGTAATCGCGTTTCGGACCTCGGCCTCCGACGGAGGCTCTAAACTAGCCGTCCATGGCTCGTCCTGCATCAGCTGAGTAGTAAGAGATCCGGGAGCAGGAGGCCAACTGAACTGATCTTGAAAGTGTTCCGCCTGACGAACCATACGGCGCTCCTTATTGTGTATCAGCGCACCCGCGCTGTCTCTGATTGTCTCACTGACACTTGGTTTTCTGGGACCAGTGGTGCGGATTAGCTGGAAGAGCTTGCGGTAATTGCCTACTGCCCCTGCCTCCTCCATTTCCTGAGCCCTACTGGTCCACCAGGCTTCCTTGTCAGCATGTAGGCTCCGGTTTAATTCGCGCCTAATAGCCCGCCTGGTCGCATTGTGTTCAGAGCCAGCCGGGATGTGTCTTCTAGATTCCAACAGGTTCACGGACCTCTCGGATATCCAGTGATTGGTGCGGTGACGATTGATAATACCACAAGCAGATGCTCCTGCGTCGTGCATGGCGGCCGAGATCCTATTCCACTGAAGCTCAGCGTCACTAGGACAAGACTGCGGAAGTTCGGTATGCAGTGCTTCTTGATAGGCTTGCCTGACCGATGACTGAGACAATTTCTCAGTTGTCCATCGCTTGGTGCGCCTCTCGGTAAAGTTCATAGAGGAACGACAACGTACCAAGGCATGATCAGAGTCGATACAGGTACTCCAGTACGAGCGGCAATCTAGTATGGAACCACGCCATCTGTAACTTATGGCAATGTGATCAATTTGGGTCCATCGCTGACCAGCTACAGGTGGACGCCAAGTGGTACTTCGGCGCCCTCTGTGTCTAAAAGCAGTGCTACTAAGAAACAACTGGTGCTCCGCACATAGTTGCAGCAGACGCTCACCGTTGTCAATCCGTTCGGAGTTAAGCCCACATTTACCACCTAGCTGAGCTTCTGAAGAGCTCAGACGCCCTACTTGTGCGTTCATATCCCCTGCAAGTACTGTAATATCTGAACTAGTAGCACTGCGTAATAGCGCATTCATTTCGTGATGGAATGTGTCCTTGACAGCATTAGAACTGCAGTCCGTGGGGGCATAAACGGAAATCACGAACAAACAGCGTTTTGTACTACTTCGTGAATCAAGCTTAGCTGATGTCGTCAAACGGGCTGCACATAAACGGCTGTTCACGGGAATCCAACCAACCAACGATGGCTCAGCCTTGGAACTTAGAATGAAACCTACACCAGCTTGACCCGTGAGTGCTGCATCGGCGTCTCCGGATGCGTGCAACAAATAACGAGAGGATAAGCCGGGTGCAGTTTATCAACTAACCCCGTTATGGTCATTGATCCTAGTTTCGGACACACAACACACATCAATACCCAGTGTCAAAAGAACACGAGACCATAGGTGAACAATTGTTTTCGATGATTCTCTTCAGACCAGTACAATCATATTTAAGGGTAAAATAATGAACTGAAATCGACTCCTTGGGTCAAGTTACATAGTTAATTAACGGATCAGTGAGGGAGGCTAAAAGTTGACCATTGATCTGACAGGTCGATTGCATGTTATTGAGCTTGATCTGTGGCAATCGACCTCAGTATCGTTCGTTCTAGCTGGCCAGAGAAGCTGTAAGGCATGGAGCAACTTCTTTTGCCAGCATAATGAAGGTTGAAACAACCGAATGCAAATCGATTCAGCTGTCGCGAGCGCACGGAGGCGCAAACCTCTTGATTGATGATGGGGGACCCTGTAAATTATCCTGAAGGCACGCTTTAGATCGACTTGGTGCCCCGTGTCGATAATATGGGCCAAAATGGCGCTGCTAATGGCCCCAGTTCCTCCTTGACGCAACCAGCGCGGGCAGTGCTCCTTCACGCGTTTGGACAAGTGCCGTGCCGTTTGACCAATATAAGTAGCGCCACAAACGCACTTGAACTGATAAATAACCATAGATGAGGTCAGCAATGGCAGCGTATCCTTATTGCGTGAACAAACAAGTGGTTCAGCAGAAAGTGTGCACTTTAACCTGGCTGCTGGGAATGTCGACTTGACTACCGCTGAAGAGAATCATCGAAAACAATTGTTCACCTATGGTCTTGTGTTCTTTTGACTCTAAATGGGAATTTTCAAGTTGCTTAAAATACCCAGTGTGTCCAAGATGAGCGCGAGTGCAGCCTGTTGACCTGTTTGTCTTAGAGTGCGAACACTGAATGTCGCCATGGAAACGGGATAGCGTGGCCTTATAATGGACCTTTGCCGTTAGGCGTCCGATAGGTGCTGTGGGATGGTGGCTGCAGATGGTTCTACTCCAGTGGCATTTCGGTTGCTGTCAATTAAGCTGGGAATTATAGAAGGAAGGTTAATAATGGGGGTCAGGATGGAAGTAAGAGAAAAAGGTGGAAAAGAAAGAAGAGAGGCGCCAGCAGTAGCATGTTTTCGCTTATCCGCCCTGCTGTATGCAGCAGATAAGGCGACCCTTGATAATCTGCGCGACGGCCGATGCAGGATGAAGTTTATGTTTGAAGAAAATGTCATGGTTGTATGTGGGCTGAGATACTGCCAGGGCGCCCAGACCTAGAAAGGAGGACGATTAGAGTCATCATCCAAAGCCTTTTGCTCAAAAGCCTGTCCGCAAGGCAGCGTGGAGGTGGCAGTGATTTAGTTTTACAGAAATGGACGCCATCCCATTTCAAACCCCCAACCTGGAGGACCAGGAGACTGAGTTTATCTGACCTCTCACCATTGACCAACCTGGTAGGAGTAGCTCTCAAGGTTCCCGGAGGCATCACCCAGTATAGCTCAATGAGTCAATGAGGTACGCAAACCGTCGCACCACGTTAAGGTCCAGTCTCGTTGCGACGGATTGAGCTATGCTGGCTTGGGCTTATTGCACCTTCGGAGCCACTCGTACTAGATTGGCAAATTGCCAAAGGCCAGACGAACTTAGTCTCTTGTCCATCCAAGTTGAGGGTTTAAGTGAGTGTGGCTACTTACTCTATAAAACGGACCCACTGTAGTCCAATGCGAAAACCCCGCTGCTTTGCGGTCAGGTTTTTGAGCCAAAGGCTTTGGTTAGAGAACCCTACTCGTTATCATGTCTAGCCTTGGGCAACTTGCAGTATCTTGGTCACGCAATACTATAAATTTCTGCAAACAATTTATTGTTCCTCTATCCTTCGCATAGAGTAATTAGTGGCACCTTATCTACTAAATTAAGGACAGTGACGTGAACTGGTTGACAGCTACGAGGTGATTGTTGTTCTTGGCACTGCCACCGTTTGTCTAAATTATTGAGCAGTGCCATTTGGTCTATTAACGGAAGTATCTATTACGTGGCTCTTCTAGTGCGCCTGCAGATCTGTCGCAACTGACGTTAAACTTTTTTGTCAGTTTTCCGTCACATACGTATTTTTACGTTTTAGGACTGCTATTTTGATGGGCGGATCGCCCTCTAAAGTCGCTTTTGAAGTATGCCTGGTCAGCGGCGATTACACCGGAGATGAAATGGGCCCGAATGTTAGCATGGTCGTATTCGATTCAAACGGCGCGCAAAGTCCAACTATCACACTAGATAATATTTTCAGGGAAGAAGTAGATTATTCGCAAGTCAAATTCACGCTTGATCTTGAATCCTGGAGTCGTCTAAAAGTATCTGCGTTGATGGCACCAACATCGCCCCCATTCTTTGCTAGGTTTTTCAGCGGTTAGATCACATAGAACTGTGGTGCACTTCTCAAAGCAATCCACCACCCACATGGTTTTTGGATCGAGTTATTATTCGAGACCGACGCTTTGGTATGATGGCTGAATGGAAATACTTCTTCTTTCCTGTTCACCAGTGGATATCGCCAGACCAACAATATGTGATTCATAATTGCGAATCTTGGCTTCCACAAAGTGACCCTTTCCCTGATTTGCGAGACTCGGAACTCAACTCTCGGATGCAGCTATTCACTTTTGTTCAGCGTGCCAAAGGTTTGCCGGTGGAAGTTGGTTCTGTGTTCAGATACCACAATTTACTTCCTCTTCCAGCTCCAAGATGTACCAGCAACCGAGTTATTTTCTTCTGATTCCCGTGTAAGTGTGTTATGTTCTTAGCATTGTTCTACTCAGTGGAACATTGAGCCATTGGTTTTAGACGTCATTTCACATACCGGTTTAGCGGCAGAATATACATGTGAAGAACCTTGGGACTCACTGGATTCACTGGGTAGCTTTTACAAAAACTATAACATCACCGAACCTGTGGTGAGTTTCAATGTCATTGAGTCTCTCTTCGTTTCGATCTTGAAAATCATGAGTTGTCACGACCTCACATCCAATCCTCACCAACACAGTGTGGCAGTGCACACATCAACGTCTTGACCTTCATAATCATCATTGCAATGTCTTCAAATTCGTTATAAGTTAGTATTTCGGACTTAAATACGATAAGAGAACGTTCAGAATCAGAGTGCTTTCATCTTGCGAACACAAGCACGGTCATAAATAGCTGGCTATTGTCTGAACTCATGGTGAAGTCTCCGCTGTATGTTTCCTGGCACTTATGTAAACTTCATTTTCAAGTGTACTTTAATGTTCCATCTTCCTATGTTTATTGTACAGTTGTTTAAATTATCTGCTTCGATACACTAATTCTTCGAATTTCGTTCGGTGTTCTCTCTTTAGCTGGATGCGCGTGCGTTCTTCGTGATTGTTCGGCTTGGTTGCTCCGTATCTGATGAGCTAACTCGTTACTGACTCGGATTGCGTTCTTGTCGAGACATACGACCAGTTTCGGACATTTGGAAGACTTAGAACTAACCGAACTACGGATAGACTCTGTTCATAACTGACTGAGCTTTTCGTTAGCCATTTTGTGTAGTCCTTTTCCACTACACTTTCACTAATCCTTGTCACAGTAATTCCAATGCCACAGCACCACACGTAGAGCAGGTAGTATATAAAAGATGACAGCAGACACGCGCCACCTCTTGTGATGTTCCGATCAATACGCCGAGTGGGTCACTTGGACCCTAATTTAATAAGCGACGCATATTCAAATCACAAAGTTCATTTTACACCTCCCTGGATAATTGAAAAATTTGTAGCTATTTTGTTAGCTACTGGCAGTCATATGTGGAAAGGCCCTGAAGCGGCGGAACTTATTCATTCAATCTAACGGATTCGAATGATCGTCATCACATGCACTTCTCCTCGTGATGCTTCCCAATACCATAAATTGTCCATAGGTAATAACCTCAAGCCATCGAGGCGAGACTGGACCTTAACGTGATGCGATGGTTTGCGTGCCTCCGTGATCCGTAGAACTAGGCTGGGTGGCACTTTCCAAGTACCTTCAGAGCCACTCATATCAGACAGATCAATAGCTAGAGGTCAGACTAACTCATTCTCACCATCCTCTTCAGAGCTTAGGAACAGATCTATAGCCTTCTTCCATTAAAACCTAGCCCTAGTAGACAACTGGTTAATGGATTATACGCTCACAGCTCGATTGGCGTAGAACGCAAGCGTCACGCATTGTCACTGGCGGTAGGAAGGTATCACCTGGAGCTGAATAATTTGCTACCGCCAGCCTCAAGCCAGGCAGCCCATCGTCAACTTCCTGCAAGCCCTCCGATTTCCACCTGCAGATGGTTTTGGTGCTAAGCATACTACGGTCGTAAACCATATGTATTGTTCCAAATATTTGAATGCTCTGTGACAGGCCTCAAGTAGACCCCAGCAGATCCCTGCAATCATACTCCCGAACTGGATCTGATCCCCACAGTAGGCTGTAGAGTTAAACACTAGAGCACCTAGACCAAAACCGCTCTGTCGGAATTGGCAGCCGGGCAGTACTATATGTCCTCTCAACCCCGTCAACAATATTCCCTATTTTTTGATTCTCTTCTCCCTTTCAACTCTTTTATTCCCCGTCAATTGAGCAACAGACCGCCGCTGATCTCGCAACTGCTGCCACTGACACATGTAACTCGTCCCTCAAACCAAGGGTCTTATATCACATTTGTTCATTTATTGTCCGCACTCTGGGTCAGCTCGGCCGACAGGCATCACTAACTCATTCTTCAATCTCTTTGTATTGATATGTGCTGTGTCTCCGAAACACACATTTAAGGTAACAACGCACTGTTGAATCTCTGACTCCATGGTTCTGAACACGCAGGCAATAACTACCCTCTTCTTGTCTCTGTCGATGCAGAGTCAATGCTTAGAGGCCTTTGCGGTGTTCGTATCGCCCTCAGCAAACTTGCCGAACTCATTCTACTCTACTGGACACCACTGAACTGCTGCGCATGTGCGATTCTACTTAGAGCCTTTATTGGGGTTATTAAACACCATCTGAACAGGAGATACCTTTTCACCGCTTCCATTCATGTCCCTCCTGACCGCAGTTCGGATAGTGTTAAAGATGAATTCCATCGTGAAATCTCATCTTTTCTCCCCATGGCGAAGAAAGTCTGATGTCGTGATTGTTGCTGGTGACATGGGTTTCCAGGTGACTCGACATTTTTACTCTGAGCAACACCTGGGATGCCGCTTCGAGAGCGATACAGTGGTGGTCGATTCCTACAACTATTTACCGATCACAGTCTTTAAATTAGCGGCATAGCTTTCCAGCACAAATTTTCGCACTGTGTTGCCTGGCGCGCACCGAATTCTTTAATGACGGATTCCAATTGACCATGATGCGGCGTACATCAGTACAAGACTGTCAGTCAATTTGGATTACCTAACTAGACCCCAACCATGCTGTAGTGTGGGCACACCTGACTCTCCCTCTTCTCGCTCCAAAAAGCGCCTAACTACTATGGTTCCTACGTGCAACCTGAACTCGCAGTCCGCACTGTTTTCCCGTTTTTCGCTGTCTTTCAGCGGCCCTTTAAAAAAGGATCGTCCTCTATTACCGGTTGATCTGACATAAACTTTCGCCAGCAAATAAAATTCGCGCCGTCAAAGCACACGGATCATTCACATTTCTATGAATAGCAGATTATCTTCCTGTCGTTATAACTTACTGTATCCAAACGGGTGCCAATTTTCTTTCTTATTAGGAGCCATTGTTTTTCTCTGTGGCTTGAACAATTGAATTCCGTTCTTCTTACTCCATGTTCATTCATATACTACTTATTTGAATCTACTTCAATGACATCCATCCACTTCCGTGGTGGATCTTTCACGGCCATGTCTGGCAGACTTTCCTGCGGATACTATCACCCAGGAGAATTACCATTTTGTTGTTGGACATTATATATATAAATGGTGCGCTGAGGCTGGTGGTGGATAGATCCTGACAGATGGTCTACGATTGCTGCTACTGTTGTGCCATGGGCTCATGATCTGGACGCCACTTCGTGGCGACCGCTGGATGGGAGTTGGGTTTCGCCCTTCTCCATGCTATGATCCAGGACACCAATCCGCGGGAGTCAGTGAAATGACCATGTGCTAGACTCGCTGCCTTTCGGGTGTTCATTTAATCGAAGGCTTTGGCTGAGGACCCGAGTCGTTCTCCTGTCAGGATTGGGCGCTCTGGCAGTATCCCAGTCCATCCTCTCCGGAGGTTAGGAAGTGGTCGATGATCCTCTTTCCATAAAACCTAGCCGTGGGAGACAATTGGTCTACGGGTTATAAGTTCACAGCTCGATTGGCGTAGAGCACGAGGGCCACGCATTGTCTCTGACGGTGGAAGGTCACCTCTGGTCGTTCAGTGGTTTGCTACTGCCCGCCTCAAGCTAGGCATCCTCTGGTCATATTGGTGCAAACCCGCAAAAAACACACCTGCGTCTGGCCGTGGTCGCAGGTGCGTATCCTACTACGGTCGCAAAACATATGATAATTGTTCCAGAACCTCAAAGGCTGCGTGTGACGGCCGTCAAGCAGAGCCCAATCTGTCTCTGCAATCACATTCCCTAGCTGGATCTGCTCTCCACTGCCTTGTGGGTCAGGCTATTGAGCCAAAGGCTCCGGGTGGAGTCCCTCAAGCACATCTCCGAAGCACATCTACCACTTCGAGTGCGATTGCCCACCAATGCAATCGTATGCCTGCGCGCAAAGCACTCAGCATCGGGTGCTGGAGGTGCCCACACTACTGGACCGGAACTCGAGCGAGCGTCCGGAGCGACGCACTGCACTGGTCGCGATGGAGCTGGCGCGCTACCACATCGATATTGCGGCGCTCAGTGAAACACGGCTTGCTGAGCAAGGTAAGTTACATGAAGCAGGTGCTGGCTACACATTCTATTAGGTGGGCAACGCCGCCTTTGCACCACGTGAACACGGGGTCGGATTTGCAATATCCGATCGCCTCCATGGCCAGCTCGTGGTTGAAACAACAGGCATCAGTGCGCGACTGATGACTGGTCGACTACGACTCGGTAAAGGTAAGTTTGCTACTTTTATAAGCACGTACGGTCCGACCATGTGTTATCCTAAAGACGCCCGTCATCAATTCTATATTTAGCTATCCTCCGTGATACGGTCCGTGCCGAGCAGCGACCGACTATTTCTGTTGGGTGATTACAACGCGCGTGTTTGGTGTGGGGCATCGGTGTGGACAGATGTTATCGGTGCGCATGGCATTGGTTCAGCGAATGCGAACGGTGACAGGCTGCTCTCACTGTGTGCCACTCACGGCCTGACGATCACCAACACTCGGTTTGCACTGAGTGCGAGTGATATAGCAACTTGGACGCACCCACGGAGTGGTCACGCTCACCTGCTCGACTATGTCATCGTAAGTCAGGGTGATATGCGTAAACTGTGCGTGACACGTGTATTGCGTATGGCACTGATCACAAATTGGTGCGTACCAAACTGTACATATATTTTCGTAAATCGATGTATTGCACTTCCGCCGGTACTGTGGTGGAACATGTTGAGCTGGAGAAGGCGATGGCTGCACGCCTGTGTGATGTGCACTGCATAGCCATAGTGGGCGACCTGTGACACCACATTCGCGACCAGGTGACAGCTGCTGCCGAGGAGACCATCGGGCGCGCAAACTGTAAGCGGCCTGATTGGTTTGATGACAACAATGTGACGATTGACGCATTGGTGTCGGAGAAGAATGCAGAGTTTGCTGCACATGCTGCAGACCCCAGTGACTTAGGGAAGAAGGGTCAGTTTTGCAAACTTCGACGGCGACTGACCCGAGAGCTCCGTCGCATTAAAAATGCATGTAGGACGGAGAAGGCAAAGCATATGGAATGCCACGCCGAACGCCGCCAACACAAGGGATTCTTTGACTC